AAAAAAAAAAAAAAAAAAAAGTCTAAGGACTGAGTCTTGAGGTGCTCCAAGTGTTTAGAATCACTGTGGCTCAAAAAATTGTATTGACTGTGACTCATAGTACAAAAACATTTTATATTCTGACTCCTTACATGATCATGCATGCACACACACAAAACAGAAATTTCACGAAAGAATACCTACTTGCCCTACATGTTATATTTTCTGATATTCTCTTTTATATCATTTTTAAGTGTTTGTCAAACAAGAAAAAAGCAAAAGAGGATAAATATTAAAGCAAAGGAGATAAACAATGTGTAATGGGAAAAGTGAGAATGCATAGATATTGGAAAGGAAAGGGGAAAAAAGTAACAAGCCAGAACCAGAAGAAAGAAAAGGAGAGAAAAATATAATTGCAGCCTTTTCCCAAAAGGTTTCCTGGAAAATTTTAACTAGGAGTGCTTTTCTCACCACTGAATAATTGCTGAGGGGCTCGCTGACTTTATAGTTTTTGGTTCAAACTAAAATCAAATAAAAAATAAGCTTATTTTCAGGCATATTATTATAAGCCTCTTATTTTCTGTTTTATGATTCTGATCCAACAGCAAGAGTGGTCAATTTATACAATTTTGGTGAAAAAACAGTAAAGTTTTGGCTAAACATTTAAACCTAGATACACAGGGTAAGATTTAAAAAATATATATTTTCAGTCTAATAGTGTGTAACACTAAATAACAAACCATGAAAGAAATACATTTAGAAAGAAGCTAGAAGCCCAGTCGTCAATGTGGGATAATCTTAACAATTTTCCAAGGATAAAGTTGACAACATTTCCCTTCTAAAAAGTTTGAAAGAATCCTGGAAGTCATGGAGTATAGAGGCAAAAGGAAGTTTTACATTACAAAGCAGCTGTTCCTCTTCAAGCACCATTCAGCATGCAAATCCCCTATGGATCCTCTTATCATATTTCCTCTTTATTCCAATCATTATTTATCTTTATTTTCATTTTTTAGAGACCAGGTCTCATTCTTTTGCCCAGGCCGAAGTGCAGTAACACTATCAGAGCTCACTGTAACCTTGAACTCCTAGACTCAAGCGATCCTCCTGCCTCAGCCTCTGAAGTAGCTAAGACTATAGGCATGTCCTAATAATTATTTTCTTAAAGGAATGATTCATAAAAACCCCTCTTTACTTCTCTTGATTGAATTTGTGTTTCCTAAGTTCATATACTTACAGATTATGTTAACATACTTTCTTATAAATAAACCAGTTTCTGTGAAAATAATATTGATCAAGACTCATTAAAATATTTTCACAACCCACATGTAAGTTGCAGGTTGACCTACAGTTTGAAAACTTCTTAGAAGTAAGGGAGATAAAGAAGCAAGGAGAATGAGGATTGTTTAGTGAGGTAGGAGGAGAACCAGGAGAGAGTGACCCCAGTAGCAAAGTGAAGAAAGTAAATTATCCAGGCACAGTGGCTCAGACGTGTAATCCCAGCACTTTGGGAGGCTGAGATGGGCAGATCACGAGGTCAGGAGTTCAAGGCCAGCCTGGCCAACATGGTGAAACCCCGTTTCTTCTAAAAGTACAAAAATTGGCAGGTTGTGGTGGCTCACACCTATAATCCCAGCACTTTTGGGAGGCCAAGGCGGGCGGATCATGAGGTCAAGAGATCAAGACCATCCTGGCCAACATGGTGAAATCCCATCTCTACTAAAAATACAAAAATTAGCCAGGCGTGGTGGGCACATGCCCGTAGTCCCAGCTACTTGGGAGGCTGAGGCAGAAGAATTACTTGAACCTGGGAGGCGGAGGTTACAGTGAGCCGAGATTGTGCCACTGTGCTCCAACCTGGCGACAGAGCAAGATTCCTTCTCAAAAAAA